AGGTATAAGGCATCCAATGTGTGCCAGCTACTTGCTGGAAGGTCTCTCCGAAGAACGGTACCATATCATGGGCTGTGCATCATTCTTTGATGTTAGAAGTTCAAGCATTAAGTCATTCTTAGTGACAGGGAGTGAATGTAGTTGATCCCATGCAGAATTTTCATCCATGCCACCATGGCCATTATCTTTGGACACACTGAGCAAGTTCTAGGATGGCCAAGGAGAGAGGCCAAGGTGTCATGTGTGCTTTTTTTAAGTGTCCTAAGTGACTGCTCTCTTCTAGACATTAACGTAAGTCACAGATCTGCATGCTTTGTGCCCACTCCCATAAGCCCATTAACATAACTCTTCCCCCAAGACTCTCAGTCTTTGTTCCTTCTTGGCCATTGACCAATTGGCAGAGCCGTTCATCATGGAATGGGAAATTAATATGTATAGGTATCTCGGACCATTTCTCCCTTGATAGGGAATCCATGACCAAGTGGACTGACTCATTGGGAACCTTTTCTTTCACTCATGTCTTTCAGGACCATCACTAACAGGGTCTATCCTCAGGAACAGTCCTCTCTAGCAGCAGCAAACCACACTCAACTATCTGTGAACCAAGCTCAGATCTATTCATCCTCCATCAGTTGGTCATAGGGACTACTTGGCGAAGCCATAGAGTGAATTGCATGAGGAAATGACGTGGGAGTTTGACACACTTGTTCTTATAATTTATTCATGACTTTTGAATGACTACTTTCATCATACAGGGCATTACTGCTGTGTCCACCCAGCCTCATGCCTCAGTGAATCCATAGTGATCCAATAATACCAGCTCATGACAGGCAGCTATGATCACAAAGTCTCTTAGTGTCACATGGTTGGGCATCTGGTCTCTACCAAGGCTCAGAAGCAAACCAGGAGATATTTTTCTTTTCTTTTTTTTTAAACTTTTATTATTTTTATTTTTTTTTAATGTTTGTTTATTTTTGAGAGAGAGAGAGACAGAGTGCAAGCAGCGGAGGGGCAGAGAGAGAGAGAGAGAGAGAAAGAGACAGAATCCGAAGCAGGCTCCAGGCTCTGAGCTGTCACCACAGAACCCAACACAGGCCTTGACCCCACGAACCGTGGGATCATGACCTGAGCTAAAGTTGGACACTTAACCCACTGAGCCACCCAGGTGCCCCGGAGATATTTTTTCAAATAAAGAGGATTTCTCTGGCCCTGCTTTAAAACTTAGCAGTCTGAGGGAACCTGGGTGGCTCAGTGGGTTAAGCGTCTGACTCTTGGTTTCAGCTCAGGTCATGATCTCACGGTTTCTTGAGTTCGAGCCCTACATCAGGCTCTGAACTGACAGTGCAGAGCCTGCTTGGGATTCTCTCTCTCTCCCCCCCTTTTTTCTGTGCCTCCCCCACTCATGTTTTCTCTCTCAAAACGAATGAATAAATAAACTTAAAAAAAAAAATAAAACCTAGAAGTAGGCCCAAGACTGTCTATTGGAGCTTACCAAAGACTCCAATGTCCTCATTCTCCATAGACACTTTGGGCGCCATCATATCTGCTAGTCAAATCGCTGGAGTGGCAGGGCAGCTGGCAGATCAACTGCAGAGCCCTCTTTTCTCAAGGTCCTCGTCAAAACTGGAATTTTCGGAGTCACCTGATAAAAGGGTCAAAGCAGTATTTCCAAGTGTGGCCAGTGCTACCACCAAAATACAACCAAGTGTTGTGCCTCTTCCTTCAAAGTTTCTACCCAGTGCTGTCTGCGGCCCAGGTTTGCGCCCGGTGAACTGTCAGGTGAGATGTGCCCTAACTCTCCCTGAACCCCCAAACTCTGAAAGGATGAGTTGGGGTTATTGGGAGCTCCTCCTACCCCACTTCTCTTCTGGGACGAGCAGATTGCTAGTTCTCGTCTGTCCAGACATGTCACATTTAGAACACCAGAGGGCGACCACTCCCCACAGATGGCGGTGCCTTGGCCAACAGCAGTTAAACCAAACGGTGGCCAGTCTTTCTCCTTCTCCTCAGTCAGGCCTGCACGCCCCATGTCAGAACAGTGCAGTACAGATCCATGGATCCAGATACAAAGATCCATGGTAACAGGGAGACCTGGGCTTGAATCTCAACTCTACCAGTTACTTCCTATGACCTTGAACAAGTAACCTCATCTCTCCAAGTCCTGGTTCCTCGGCTAAAAAAAACGGTACAAAAATAGTACCTGCTTCATAGGGTTGCTGGAATGGTAAGTGAAATAATGTGGTAAACAGCACAACATTGCCCAAATATTAGTTATTCTTAGGCATTTTAATAGTTAATCTAATTTGATTCTCACCAGACTCCTTACAGCCAGAGTAGGTAAACATGATTCCCACTTTTCAGATGAAGAAACTGAGGCTCAGTTAGTTTAATGACCTGCAGAAGTACGACGGTAACAGCAGTTTCATTTTCTATGTCTCTCCCTCAACCACTTTTCAAGTGGTGGCAGCTGGCCTCAAGAGACTTGTCTGAGATTCTGGGATTCTGAGGCCCAGAGAGGACAAATAGTTTACCCAGTGAACCAATGACTAATCCAGGACCCCATGAGCCATCCCACTGCACTCCCAACCCCCAACATTCCAGCCATGGCCCCCAGACACCCTGAAAAGACACTGCCTCGTTAATCTGCTCTAGATTGCTTGCTATAGGATCCTGTCCGTGAGTCTGGTCTCCCTCAGTAGACTGTGAACAAAGAAAAAAAATTCTCAAGGAATATATATTACTATGGAAAAGCATATTGCTAGATGAGACAAGGGATCTACAGAACTGCAGGTACATGATCCTAGTATGTATTTATGTATATCAGCAGAGAAAAAAGTGGAAGGTTATAACACACAATGGGAAAAATGCTTGTCTCTGAGTGGTGGAATTATAGGTGTTTTTTACATTTTTCCCTTGCACTTGTGTGTGTGTGTGTGTGTGTGTGTGTGTGTGTGTGTGTGTTTCTGGATGTATCCAACAAGCATGTTTTACTTCTATGATCAGAAAACAATGCGTGTGTGTGTGTGTGTGTGTGTGTGTGTGTGTGTGTGTTATGCTGTTTCAAGTGTCTATTTTAAAAACTACCACATAAAGAGTCAGAGATCTCAGGCTGTCCTCCACATTAATTTCTTGTTACTTTGCACAAGCTCTGGAACGCTCCTAAGACTCAGTTCCTCCACCTGAAAAGTAAGGAGGTAACTCCTGTCTCCCCTTCACCCTGAGTCTTAGAACCTTCCGGCCTGAGGCCATCTGTTGTTCCCCCTTCACCTCAGCCAAGCGTCCAGGCATATGGGACCCCCACCTCTGTCTCCACTCCCCCAGTTCCGCTCACTAATCCCCCACCTCCTCATAGCTTGGGTTTTGCCCCCTGTTCTCCAGCTTGGACTCTACAAAGGTCACTGGTGGCCTCCTCATGGCCAAAAGCCACGGCTCTGCACTTTCTCTCTAGCTCTGTCTCTTCTTTCCAAATCCCTCCCAGTTTTCCCAGCAAGGGGCTCTCATGGTTGTGCCTTCCTCCTTGAAGCACACTCTTCCCTCGCCCCCTCTGACCGTGGCTGACTGGGGTTTCCTCAGTCTTCTGGCTGCTGCTTCTCTAAGGTTCTGCTTCTCAGAAGGGGCTCCTGGCTCCCAAGGCCCTTCCCTCTATCTCTAGCCTGCCTTGTTGACCTTGCCCACACCATGGGCCTATCGAATGGCTCTCACTCCCATCACCAGCCCAGACCTGGCTCCTGAGCTCTGAGCCTGATAACAAGTCCTGTAGAGGCCCACCCCACACTCAACCCCAGTCCCCGTCTGTTGTCTGCCCATGGGTGCTCAGCCCAGACTGCCATCCCCTCTCCCACCACCACCCAGGTCCTTGTCAGTCACCTCACAAGTACTTCTGGAATCCATCCCTCCTCTCCAAACCCTGACACGGACCCTAGCACATCTTCCATGACTGGTGAAGCCGTTCTCAAAGTCTGCCTCCCACTCACACCCCACAGCCACTCAGTGGGAGAGTTCTGCCCACCTTCCGGCAACACCCCAGCCCTTTTGAGCACTCCGCCCCCTTCCCTTATCCACTCAGGGGATATCATCACACACCTTCATACCTCTCATCCGCATGGCATCCATGGGCTCCCCACTGGTCTCCTTGCTTTCACTCGCTCCCTGCAGCCTAGACTGAAATATAGATTACATCATCAGCATCATCAGAACCATGATTGAGCCTTACTATGTGTCAGGCATTGAGGGCTTTACCTATATTATCACTTATTCATGAATTCCTCACAACAACCATATGAGGGAAGTACTATTATTATCTCCATGTCCATTATTATCTCCTCAGAAAAGTGAGGTATAGAGAGTTTAAGCAACCCTTTTTGGTTATATAATTATAGTTGCTAACGTCTTGAAACTAGGATTAGAATACAGATGATCTGACCTGACCACAGAGCATCAGCCCTTAACCATTCTGCTACGTCTGCCAATTTGCCTTTTTTTTTTTTTTTTAAGTAGGCTTCATGCCCAGCACAGGCTTGAACTCATGACCCTGAGATCGAGACCTGAGCTGAAATCAAGAATCAGACGCTCGACCAATTGAACCACCCAGGTGCCCCCTCAACCTGTCTTTTTGCCAGAGACACTTCTAGGATGAAGTCCACGCCCTCCTCCCCAGCCTCCGAGGACCCTCCTATAGAGCTCAGACACCTTTCCAGTCCTATCACCCACTGTGCCCAATGGGTGCCCGCCTGCCCTCCTGACTGTATACCTCACCTGCCCACTTTTACACTTTAACCCATGCCTTCTTGCTGCCTGGTGCCTGTTGGCTCAAGCCCTCCTCCCAAGCGATCCTAAATGCCTCTTCCTCCATGCAGAGCAGGCTGGACCAGAAAGCAGCCGTGATGGGGGAAAGGCCAGTGACTGGGAAGCAGGAGGCCTGACAACTTGGTCATTCCCCTTCTGGAAGGTAACGGGGGTCTGGGCCCCTGGCCCTGGGCCCCAGTTTTCCCATCCGCAAGATGGAGAGGTAGGACCAGATCATCGTTAGGAGCTCTCCTTGCTCTAGCAGCACAGGCCCTATGTTCTCATGGTCCCCGAAATGGAGGTGAAATTGCTCTCTTTGAATCCCTTTAACATTCACAGAATGGAGAGAATGTCAGAACTGGGAAGGACTTCAAAGGACATATAATCCCACCCCCTCTCATTCCCCCCAGGGATGCTGAGGCCCAGGGAGCAGCAGAGGCCTGTCTAGCCATCTGGGAAGTGGGAGTGGTGAGAGGGAGGCCGTGCTCTCCACTTGATGGAGGACCCATCTCAGCAGGTCCTCAGCCCCACAGAGAAAGGGGTGGGAGGAGTCTAGAAGGGCAAATGAGCCTGGCTCCTGGCGGCTTGGCCTGCCGGGCCCTCAGTAGTTTTCCATAACCAGCAGGCCTGCAGCCCAGGGCATGTGCTCCCCTCTCCCCTGGCCCCCCACATTCCTCTGCACACTCAGGCAGCAAAGTGGCATTCAGGGCTCTGTTGGGGCGGGAGGGAGGCAGAGACCCAGACACAGACAAAGAGTCACAGTTATCAGTAGAGCCATAAACTCCAGGCCAGAGAGATAACGCAGATCCCGATGAGGCAAAGGTGCCCAGACACAAATGACACGTGCAGATACACTACGCCCACACTGCCAGGCACGTAGACCCATTTGCAAAGGCACACACAAATAGGACTGTGATCCAGAGATATTCATCTTATGCATACACACAGTCGCATTCACACCCCGAGGCTCACGTGCACACTCAGCAGACACCAACCCCCATTCAGGCCCCTGTCATCCTCCCCCCTCTCCCTCAGCAGCCCTCCCCGCCCGTAATGCCTGTGTAGGTCAAACGTTGGTCAAGAAAGGGGAGAAAAAACCTGAGCTGCCCCAATCCTGGGAGGCGGGAAGGAACTAGACAAAACCCAGGAGCCAGCCAGGCTCCCCCAGCACTGAGAAGGCGCCACTTTTTCATTCCAAAGAATTCACTGGACAATCCCCACCCTGTTCCCAGAGGCCTGGGTGAGGCTGGTCTGGAGCACCACCCCTGCCATGACCCTTTCTCTAGCCTCTGAGATTCCAGCTGGGTCCCCAGCTGCTAGAGGCAGAGCAGAGGGGCATCCAGGACCCTTCCCCTGGTTCGTTTCCCTGCCAGTCTGCTCTCCGGCCCACCTGCCCCCTCCACCCTCACACCTGTCTCCCTCACTGTATCCCACTCCCCACCCCTGCCCCTCCAGCCCCACATCTGGCCTCCAAGAGATTAACTCCAGACCTTCTCTGGTTCTCAAGAACCCAGCAACACAACTCCTTGACCAGATGTACCCGGTGACTTACATCCTTGCCAGGGCCTCCCCCTGGATATTCCATGACTACCTGGTGGCAGGTGTGATGGCATGCACCCGCTGCCTCAGGTCAAAGTTGGCAGAGGTGGGCTCCAGTCCCAGCCTGTCTGAGAACGTTGGCCAGGTGGCGTCAGCGCTTTGAGCCTCAGTTCCCTCATTTATGAATGGGACTCATAATGCCACCTAGCCCTCAATTATATATATATATATAGTTTATCATGGGGCCTAATTCGGAAGGCTGGTTTTAACTAGGAAATGGGCTGTGCCACTTGGGTCTAAGTGATTCAACCCGCCTCAGCCTCAAGTTCCCTACCTGGGAAGTGGAGTACCCCTTGCTACCTTGAGGGCTGAAATAACACCGCTGGGAGCAGACGGGTCTCCACGGGGGCCTCCCGCCCCAGGGCTCCCCTCCTCCACGCCCACCTCGCCCCCAGCCCCCAGCCCTGCTCCAGGTTCCCACGCCTCCTGGCCCCAGCCGGCGAGGGCTGTCAGCCGGAAGGGATTTGCCGCCCGAGAGCAGGGATCAGCTGCGTCTGCACAGAGGCAGCCTTGTCCCGGTGGGGACCCGAGGCCGCGGCGGGGCCCCGCCATCACGTTGCTCCGCGGCCGCGGTGCCAGCGGCCACCCCGCCCCCGCTCGACTTGGGTCCGCTTCAAGGGCCGGCGCCAGATTTCCTGGCCCCGCGCCCCGAGGGCGGTTTAGGGGTGCCCGACGCGGGAGCTGCAGGGCCTCCAGGGCGCCCAGTTTCCGCCCCACCTGGAGGGGGCCGCCGCGCACCACCCTCCCCCTCCCTCTCCACCTGCCAAGCCCACCAGCCAATCCTTCCCGAGAAAGGCGCGGGCTGGCCTCCCGCCCCCCTCTCCAACCCACGCGTCCTGACTCAGGACCACAGATTTCCCTGGGAAAAAAAAAAAAAAAAAAAAGCCTTGCCCCTTGGGAGGTCTCTCAGGATGAGCTCAACCAAGGATGGATAGGGGCGAGGGGAGGCCTGTGTGAGTCTGTTCCATTTTGGGACCAGCTCTGGGGGCAAGTTGTAGGGATCCAATGAGGGTGTTCTGGATCTGAGTCTGACTTGGAAGCCAATCCAGGTGTGATCTGGTCCAGGTGTTGGAATCTTCCCTCAGTGTTCAGAGTTTGGATGTTGGGACCCTCTCTGGGTGTTCTCAACTGGATGTCAGGATCTTTCCTGAGGTTCTGGATCAAGCTGTAAGAATATACTCAGGCTGTTCTAGGTTTGCAGTGGAAGCCGATCCAGATGCATCTGGTACAAGCGCTGGGATCTTTTCTCAGTATTTAGAGTCCAGCTGTGGTCTTCTCCAGGTCAGATTGCTGGAGCTTTCTCTGGCATGGCAGTTGGAAGCCCAGACAGTGTATGTGATCCAGAGCTGGGGATCTTCTCTGGGTGTCTGGCACTGGGACCTGCCCTGGTAGATCAGGTACAGGTGTCACCAGCTGCTCTGGGTTTGTTTGGGGCCTCTAGACAGGAACCTAAGAGCCAGCCCCAGACCCTCCCATTGGCCTGAAGGCAGACATCACTGCTAAGTCTCAGCCCCAGCTCACTGCGACCCCTATGAGACCAGTAAGAGAAGGCCCCTGCAGCTCAGCTTGACGTCCCTCTTAGAACCCGGGAATTGGAGGCAGACCCTAGACTCAAGCTGGGAATCAGTCGTGACCTCACTCTGTCCAGAGGCACCTCCCTTCCCTTCTCTAACTTCAGTTTCCTCTCGAAGAAGGTGGAAGGATTGTATTTGATATTCACCAAGGGCCCTGTACCATCGTCTCCCTGGTCCTCCCCCGTGCACCACACACACAGGCACGCACACGCGCGCATGCACTGTACTTGTTCGTACTTCACACTTTTGTCCACTCTCATCTTCCCGCCTGGAATGTCCCAGTCTCTCCTTATCCCCTCCAGCCTCTCCCAAGCCCTCAAGCCTCTTTCCTTCCAGAAAACCTGCTCCCCTGAGCCAACGCTTTTTCAGGTGCAGGGCATGACCCCTTCCTGCCCTGAGAAGAGACGCCAGGAAGCCACCGACCCCGTCTGACTTCTCCACTGGGCTGGGAACTCTCTGAGGGCAGGGTCTTGTCTACTCCTGGCCCCCACTCTGACACCTCAAAGTCTCGTGCTCAGTTCAGCCACCATCCCAGGCTGGCAGTTGACCCTTTAAGAAGAAAAAGAATCTCTTTAGTCTCTAATATGCTGGTGGGGTGGGCACTAAGCGGATTTGGGAGCCTGTCTCCTGCCCACACCAATCCTCCTTTCCAGGCCATTGCACCCATGTGACAGGCAGTCTGGGGCAGTGGGGAGCCCTCCTGACCACGTGAGCCCAGGCGGGTAGCTGGAGACTGACTGCCCAGTTCTACCTCTCCCGGGTGGCTGTGTACCTAGCAGAGAGAAATCAGAAACCCCAGTTTCTGGAGTGGAGCAATTACCCCGCTCTCTGGGCCAACCTGTACAGTCGAGCATGTGCACATGAACGTCCATATATGCACATACACACACTCGTATACCTCTCAGAAAGGGAACTGAGCCAGATGCTGAACTAGGCACTTTGCAAACAATATTTCTCAGTCCTCAGAATAGTTTCATAGGAATCATTAGCTCTATCTGCAGCTGAGGAAACTGAGGCCCAGAGAGGGGGAGGGGCTAAGCTGAAACTACACACCTGTTAAGCGTGGAATCGGAACTCAAAGCAATGCCCTTGCATGCACGCACGTACACACATTCACACATCCACACACTTGCACAAGTGCACACACAACTTTCCCACACTTGTGCTCAACCCCTAAGCCAGTCACTGACTATGAGAGCTAGAAGGGAGCTTAAGAGATCACCGTGTCTATGCCATTCCATTTTACAGAAAGAGAGAGGGGAAGGGATTGATTTAAGTTTTCAAGACATTGCAGAATCAGGACTGAAATTCACACGTCCATTGTCACACAGAGTCACCTGTATACACAGCCACATGCCACACAGCTTACCCACAGACTCTTACACACAAGCCCACGAATGCAAACATATACTTGCACCCATGGATGGTCATTCACACCCCACACGTAATCTTTCTTGTTTTATATGTCTGCACACATGCCATTGCACATCTACTCATCGCATGCACACACACACACACGCCTGTCATATATAGCTGCACACAGTGCACATTCATGGACATTCATTCTCACATGATCCTGACACCGACATATCTACTTACACACACCTACACACCTACACACGCCCATGCTCTCTCACTCTCAGATCACATGTACCCACTATCCTGATGCAAAAGGGATCAGTTGACCCTGATCAGAAACCCTGCACAGCTAAGGCTGGACCCTCGGCGGGAGCCATACACGGAGCCTTTAGGAGGGGCAGCCCTGGAACCAGCATGGCATTGCATGGGTGTGCCCTGGCATCGCACTCCACAGCCCCGGGGAAGTGCACTCTGCCAGTAGGTTCCCACAGGCCCAGGCAACTCGCCTTGGCCAAACCCAGCAGGTAGCCCCAGAAAGTGCCGAGTCATGGGGCCAGGAGTGGCCAGGCCAGGCTGGAGGCAGGACTAGTTCTGGCTTGTGAGCTAGTATTTGTCTTCTGCCTGGAGCCGCATAGAGGACTCTCCTCCCTCCAAGGGCCAGACCCTGAGTCCTAAGGCCTCTTCCCACACCCACCGAAGATGAGGATCTGGGTGCCAGGATCTGGGGGCAAAACACCCATAACTGCTAATGGGATTTGCCAAAGTTAGTGAGCCATCTGACTCAGGCTTCAGAATGACACTTTGAGATGGTCCATTTAAGTCTTTCTCAGTGACTGAAACCCAACGTATGTATCAAATACAAACTAATCTCAAAATCTAGCCCATAAACAGTGACAACTGTCACAGCTCTATAATAAAAGATGCTTTGTGCTGGAGACACGTGATCAAATAATTACAACGAAGGGGTCGAGGGCGCCTGGGTGGCTCAGATGGTTAAACGTCCGACTTCTGCTCAGGTCATGATCTCACGGTTCGTGGGTTTAAGCCCTGCATTGTGCTCTCTGCTGTCAGCAGAGCCCGCTTCATATCCTCTCTCTCCCCTTTCTCTGCCCCTCCCCCTCATGTTCCCTCTCTCTCTCTCTCTCTCAAAAATAAATAAGCATTTACAACGCAGGGTTCGGGACTGTAACACAGAGACGGATGGACATGGTGACAGAACAGGGCAGAGAGTTCTCAAGTTGGACCAGAGATGAGGCCACTCGACCTGGGTCTTGAATGGCAAGTCAGAGTTCACCAAGAAGCTTTCCAGAGGGAAAATTGTGTTTCAGGGAACAGAGAGCAGCTTAAGTGTGGGCTGAGGTGGAGAGCTGGAGGGTAGGCTGGAAATACAAGAAATGAGGCAAACTGGAGTCAGCCATTTATCAAACATTTATTAGGCACCTACTATATGCTGGATTGTGACACATAAAATACACAAGCCTGTCTCTCCAAGAGCACAAGCTCAAAAGTCCCAAATCCAAGTGCTTTCAGGTGCCAAGCAGGTGACGTAGATGAGTGAAATGGGTAGGTGTGAGCAATGGGTAGGTGTGAGGCCAGTGGGGCCTGTGTCTAACAGCATAGTCTATGCCATGGCCAAAGCCTTTATGCTCAAGAATATTTGTCAATCTGTGGCAGCCAAAAACAAAAAACAAAAACAAAAAAACCGAAAACTCCTTTGTAGGCTGGCTTCAGGTGGTAGACCGTGAATTCGCAGCCCTTGGTCCTAAAGTCTAGAACCTAGATCCTAGAGTTTGGAGGAAGCCTTGAATAGAGGGCTAAGGAGTTTGAACGTGGCTGTGTGATGGGCCTAAGACCCAAGGGAGGTTCTTGCCATGGAAGGACATTTGTGACCAAAGCCTCCTAGGAGAAAGCCCTCACACCATGATCATTGGACAGAGTAGAGCTGTATGTATTGCCCAAGACCCTGGAGACAAGGATAGCGTTCTGCTTTGCCTATCACAAAACTGTTGCCTGGTAAGGGCCACTCTGCCCTCACATGAATCTTCATCCTCACCCCCTTTCCTACTCCTGACCCCAGATCCTCCTTTTTCCACCCACATCTTACATTAAAAACTGAGTACATTGGATCCCCCACATTTCTCTCTCCCCAAAAGGACATCCATCCACACATACACACACACACACACACACACACACACACACACACACAGTTCTCTGTAAGGTGAGGAGCTTAGAATAGTTGATCTAGAAATGATTCTTCATGCTCCATCTCATGGAAACGCCAGAAGGGCCTTAGAGATGAAAATGCCTGACTTGGTGTTCTTGTTTTCCTGGTTTCATGGATACCTGGGGACTAGATTGCTGTCCAGACAGGAATGGGGAGCCCCCAGGGTTCAGATGCAGCTCTCCCATTATACAGAGAAAGAGGGAAACATGGCCAGGCAACCAACACAGCCTCCCCCCTCCCCAACACATATGCAGACCGCAGATGCTTGGCTGTGGAGCCTGGGAGCTGCCCTGGGCACAAGCTGGCACGCCCGCCTACCCTTCACCAACGGCAGCCTCCCTCTTGGACCCTCATTAAA